TCCCTCCAATGTTACACCTTAGAAGAGTTTCCCACATAAATCTATGCAACATTGTTTTGCCTCTCTTGAGAATTGTTTATACTTTATATAATTTTTTTTCCTGTCAGGTTTACCATGTGTTATTTGTAGTTTCCTTTTTAGTTTTAAATAATTGTATTACTGAATTCTAAAGAGCACAAAAGAACGGCTTTTGAAGTTCAGAAGGCCAATCACAGGAGTACACCTGACGCGTTTCAAACCTCTTCTAATGACTTCTCTTCGTCTTCAGACACTCAACACTTTGAGTCTGATTTTGCCTCTAATTACTCCTTATATTCCTTGGCACCTGAGACCATAACTAAATCTGATAATGATGATGATGGTGATTTTATTCTGGACTCTATTTGACCCAGGTAGTATTAAACACCCTTGTTCGGCTGAGAGGATTCCATTGGTACATGTAGCCAGATACCTGGAGTACTGGTTAAAGGACCACTATAGTGCCAGGAAAACATACTTGTTTTCCTGGCACTATAGTGCCCTGAGGGTGCCCCCACCCTCAGGGACCCCCTCCCGCCAGGCTCTCGGGAGAGGAAAGGGGTTAAACTTACCTTTTTTCCAGCGCCGGGCGGGGAGCTCTCATCCTCCTCTTCGGCTTAATGCGCATGTGCGGCAGGAGCTGCGAGCGCATTCAGCCAGTCTCTCCACAGTGAGAAGCACGCAAACGCCTCTAGCGGCTGTCAATGAGACAGCCACTAGAGGCTTTAGAGGCTGGATTAAGCCATTTATAAACATAGCTGTTTCTCTGAAACTGCTATGTTTATTAAAAAAAAGGGTTAATTCTAGAGGGACTTGGCACCCAGACCACTTCATTAAGCTGAAGTGGTCTGGGTGCCTAGAGTGATCCTTTAAGAAAACCACTTGATCAAGCGTCTAGAAATAAATTAAGGGCTGAATCCCCTAGACCGACTTTATCCCAAAAAGTTGCACAGACCCCTGATTTGGATGCTATTTTAATCTAATTCCTAACAAAATCAGGGAAGAATCCTCGCAAAGGACTTAACAGATCCTTAAACACATGCCAAGGCAAGCTATTGGATACTTCAGGTCCTGTAGCAAAAATGAGGTTTTGGAACAATCAACAGCCTCTGGTGTTTCACCAAATATTTACATTCTGAAAGGATGGACTTAGCATATATATATTTTTTTTGTCCGTCTCTTTTTATTAAAATATTTCATTTTTTATCGCACCATTTCTGGCCATGTAACATAAGAACGGTATACATAAAAGTATGCATATGTTGCAAAACAAGGCGTATCATAATAAGAACAGATATGCATCACTAAAGTTATAGACCACCGTTGGTACAGTGTCAAGTGTGGGTAACGTGCTCTGGGAGAATGGCCGCGCGGTATAGGTGGGCTTAAGTGCAACCCGTTCAGGTTGTGGGATTATGGCCTTCTTCTAAATGCTCCCTCAGCCTAGGGGGCCTCAGGGGATGGGCGGGAGGGAGGGAATGTGGCCTGGTAATGGGTCGGCAGAGCAGGCAGTCCGAAAATGGGACTAGTGGACTGTGTATGGATCAGCGCGATTTGGGTAAATAAAGCGCATTTTTAACTTAACAGTGCATGTACAAGTTGCTGTCGCGGAGTTGGCTCCCATGCAGGTCAGGTTGGTTGTTTGTAAGTATCCTGCCTGGGTGTGAGGAGGCCCAAGGCCTTACAAAGTGTTGGGAACTCAGCTAGCATGGAGAGTTTGTGCACCGTTCTATTATGTGTGACCACCAGAAATTTGGGTGATCTCCAGTGGTATTCCAGCCCTGCTTCTCTGAGGGCACTGGTGACTGGGTTTAATGATCTGTGCCATTGTAGCATGGCTCTGGTGAGGTCTTGGTAGATGGTGAGTTGAGCTCCCTCAAATGTGAGCGGCGTCTTGTCACGGGTGGCTGTCATCAGGATTCTCTTGTCCTGGGCAGTGGTGCAGCGTACAATAACATCTCTGGTTATATTTGGGGCTATTCTGCCTGAGGGTGGTAGGCGGTATATCCATCTATGTTACATTTTTTGGCATGCGTTGGCAGCAGAATGGAGGCTACGAGGCGCCTCATGTAGTGGGGCAGTTCATCAGGAGTGATGGCGTCTGGTACTGCCCTGATCTTAATGTGGTTTCGCCTTGTCCTGTCATCGAGGGTTATGTAGTGTAGGGAGAGTGCCTGTTGTTGAACTTGTAAGGCCTGCACAGATTCCCGTAGGGTTGTCAGTCCTTGCTTGATACCGGAGATATTGTTCTCTGTGGACTGCACCCTGTCAGTGACAGCTTGGACGTCCGCTTTAATGACCGCTATGCTGGTTGCCAGGAGACTTTTGATTTCCCCATCCAAGTTATGAAAGTCTCGCTGGGTGACTGGAGCTGACCCATCCGGATTCCCCTTGGCTGTATGCGCCTGTCGTAGAGGTGAGTCAGGCGGTACGGGGTCTGTGGGTACCTTGGCTACTTCATGCTCTGCTGTTCCTGCCATTTTGGGAAGCAGTTGTCGTTGTGCAGCATGGCATCTATGTCCCTGGACCCTGAGGTCGATTCAGCAGAGGTTTTTGAGACCGACGGCCCATTGCTGCCGTGGTCGGTATGTGACCTGCGTGGAAGTCTTCCACCTCCGGATCCTCCTGTGGTTCAAATCCGCCCAGCAGTGCCAACCAGTCGAGGGCCACCGTGGGTTTGCAGGCAGCAGATCTGCATTTCGGCTGTTGTGCCCGTGGAGGGTGCACAAATGGCATGGGGGGTAGCTTGGCTGTTCTCCACTTGTGTCCCCGGTTAGGAGTTGGTATTTGAGGGTTTTAAGCCTCAAATGACAGGCTAGAGGACCGGGTTTTGGACCGGAGCGATGCTGGGTTGCATCCGCTCTGGCTCGTGGTCAGGCTTCACCCCCAGCATATATTTTTTATACATTTTTTACAAATGTATGTCCATGGATTCATCAGTTTCTTGGTTTTTATTTTGAGTTGTTTTCTTCCTTTCCTTTAGTTCATTATTTAGATGATTTCTTGTTGAAAAACAGTTTGTCCGAATGTAAAGATCTTTTACAAACTTTTGTGGTTTTGTCCAATTCCTGTTGCATCCCATTGGCTGAGGATAAGCCGGTATACGCTACTGCTTGTTTACAATTTGTAGGCATTAAAATTGACAAATGGAATTTAGACTTCCATTAGACCAAGTTCCTAAGTGGAAGAGTTTGTTCCAATTTGTACGACCCAGCAAAAACGTGACTGAAAATATTACAATCTCTTTTGGCCCTGTTTGGTGATGTCAGTGGGAAGGTTTTTTTTAGAAATATGACCAGAGCCATTGCTAAAAATAACCAATAATTTCTCATTAGAGTGTCTAAGGAGATTAAAGAAGATTTAAATGTTTGGAACATCCTGTTCCTCATTAGCTTTAATGGTAACACTATTTGGCAAGAGGATCTTGTCAGCAATCAGTCGATAGATTTAAACACTGATGCTGTGGCATGTAAAAGTTTTGGTATATTTTGGTACAAGTTACAACAAGTGGGCAGTTGGAGCTCGGCCTCAATCTTGGCATTGCAGCAGGATGGACAAAAAATATGGTTCTTATATGTTCCCCATTATTCAATCTTTAGAAATCTGGACAAGCTGATGATTAAAGGACCACTATAGTGCCAGGAAAACAAACTAGTTTTTCTGGCACTATAGTGCCCTGAGGGTGCCCCCACCCTCATGGCCCCCTCCCACCGGGCTGAAGTTGGAGGAAGGGGTTAAACACTTTCCTCCTCCTTCGCTTGTCATCGGCTGAATGCAATGCGCATGCGCAGGAAGAGCCGCGCGCACATTCAGCCAGTCCATAGGAAAGCATTCTCAATGCTTTCCTATGGACGCTGGCGTCTTCTCACTGTGAAAATCACAGTGAGAAGCGCGGAAGCGCCTCTAGCGTCTGTCAATGAAACAGCCACTAGAGGCTGGTTTAACCCATATGTAAACATAGCAGTTTCTCTGAAACTGCTATGTTTACAGCAGGCAGGGTTAATCCTAGATGGACCTGGCACCCAGACTACTTCATTAAGTTTAAGTGGTCTGGGTGCCTATAGTGGACCTCTAATAAAAGGCTACAGTTTAATTGTGATAATATGGGGGTAGTCAAAAAAAGCAAAATTAGCAGGAGACATTATTTTGCTGATATGGTTAGTTTTCCTATGTGTGTTACACAAGATGTGGGTGAAATCAGCACATAGTCCAGCTATTATTAATATTGCCAACTGTCTCTCTCGTTTTGATACTTTTCCGTGCTCCAAGTGTGCATCCGGAAGGAGAACTACCACAAGGAATTTGGGATTGGTTTCTCCCTGTTAAATTAATTTTGTGAAGAATTGCCTCTCCACCTCTACATGGGCAGCTTACTTGACTGTTTGTATTATTTGGGTTGCATTTATGTCTACTGGTTTTGATCCTTATGGGAACTCTTTGCAAGCTGCTTTCGAGTTTGTTTGTTTTTTTACATTTGATGATTATTGATGGTAAAGGGATACTATAGACACCAGAACAATGACAGCTTAATGTAGTTTTTCTGGTGTCTACTCCTGCCCCTCCAGTCTATGATGACCAGGGAAAAATAAACAACAGCAATTCATAGAGGAGTGAGTTTGATGACATAAAACATGAAGAGGATCTCCCACACGCTCCAAGTGAAAAACACAGAAAACGGCAATAAACACAGGATTTATCATAGCTAATTACACCGGAATACGCTCTTTACCTCTCTGAAGACATGGGGTGCTGCAGCAAAAAATACAAGATGGACAGCCCCCCATCTACTGCCAATATCGGTGATCTTCTGAGAAGGCCGCTAACCTCAGTGAGGCCTGAAATGGTGCTGGTGTCTGACGGACCCCCAGCGGGCATCCAGCGAGGAGTCCTTAGCTGATGAAGTGGATTAAGACCGCTGTGTACCCACCAGACCCAGGTACTCACCTTCCAAACAGGTGGGGAAGTCTCCGGTTACCGAAGACATGGTGAGAGGTCTCCTGGACGAGCTGCGCCATAATATAGCAGCAGATATTGGCCAGTTCCGGGAAGAAATCAGGCAAGGTTACAACACAGAGCTGAACACCGCTGACCACGAGACCCGCATAAAATCTCTGGAAAACCAGCTTCTGACCCTACAGCACACCCAGACACAGGCCCAAGATCGCCTGGAGTCCTTGGAGGACAAAAGGCACTTGAAAAACATCAAAATACGCTGCCTACCTGACAACCTTGAGCCTACTGAATTCCCACACTTGTTCCGCAGACTGCTCACTGTCCTATTCTCAGCAAAACGAGCCAAGTTGATGCCTCTGGATGGGTGGTACAAAATCCCCAAACCAGCTACAGGAACACAAAGAGCAAGCAGGGACATTAAAGTTCGCTTTCAACAAAGCCAGGATCGCCTAGTCTTCATGGCAGCAACCCGTAACAGGTCACCCTTTAACTTTGAGGAACACTCATTAACGTTCTTTCCTGACCTAACCAGAGCCACACTGGAATGGAGACGCTCACTGCGACCCTTAACCACAGAACTCTTGGCCCACAAGATGCCGTGGAGCCTAATTATACCCAGAGACTCTGGCGACTTAAAAAATCACAGCTGCAGCTGAGATCACTAAAACGCTACAGAAACTGGGTCTATCCAAACGGGCTACCGAAGCACCAATTCAGCAGACACCATTGACCGCCACTATCTGGTTCGCCCATTCATCCCTGCAGCTCACCAAGGGGATCCATCCTCAAGCCTGGTGCCGTGAACTGACCGCATACAACCAGACAGCCTCTGTATAACATGTTCAGTTGTTTTTTCTTTTGTTTTTACAAGCCGTTTACTTCTTTTTCATATGCATGCATAGTTTAACACTCTAATCCTGTGGGGTGTTCCTTTGAACACGAATTATCGCTCCTCATTTTAATACTCTCACCAATGCGAGCTACATGATACATGCGCTACCTCCTATGTTCCCCCACCCCTTTATGAGAGAACCATGATGTTATAACTTGCCATATCCAACTAAAGGTGTTATAGCCTCTTGAATCTTCTTACTGCCATGAGTCCCTTCAATATCATTTCATCCTACTTGAGGCATCTACGACCTTCTCACCCAAATTAGCACGTCCATTACTTCTCACACAACAATTGGGAGAGGGGTACGATACCGTTCAATTATGGTTTATTCTACTATATTTAATTATTTATTTATTGTTTTTTCCACTATATTTCATCCTACGAAAAAAAAAAAAGTCCTCTGTATTCTGCTACATTCAAACTTGTCATACTGTATAGTTGTTGATTGTATATTGCATACAAAAGTGACATGGTGTAATTGTTATCACAGCAGGATTGTGAATAAAGAAAATTACCCGTATATACTCAAGTATAAGTCGACCCGAATATAAGTCGAGGCCCCTAATTTTACCCCAAAAAACTGGGAAAAGTTTCACTCGAGTATAAGACTAGGGTGGGAAATACAGCAGCTACTGGTAAATTTCTAAATAAAATTAGATCCCCAAAGAATTATATTAATTGAATATTAATTTACAGTATGTGTATATAATGAATGCAGAGTGTGTGTGTGTTTGTGTAGTGTGTGTATATAATGAATGCAGTGTGTGTGTGTGTGTATATAATGCAGTGTGTGTGTGTGTGTGTGTGTATGAATGCAGTGTGTGTATATAATGCAGTGTGTATGCATGAATGCAGTGTGTGTATATGATGCAGAGTGTGTTTGTGTATGTGATGCAGAGTGTGTAAACTTGGTGGGGTGTGGGCATTTTTATTATTATTATTTTAATATTAAATTGTATTTTATTATAATATTATTAAAATTTTTATTTTATTTTTTTTGTCCCCCATCCCTGCTCGATACATGGCCAGGGAGGGGGGCTATATTATTCCCTGGTGGTCCAGTGGACGGGCTGTGCATTAGGGGGGCTGGGAGCAAGCTGTTACCTTTACAGCAGCTCCGGTCAGCTCCCTTCTCCTCCGTGCCGTTCTGCTCCAGTGTAAATCTCGCGGTCTGAGTGCCACGTGGAGTGTTGCCATGGTAACCCGTGGCAACGCTCTGACGCCGCGGCTCTCGCGAGGCTTACAGTGGAGCTGAACGGCATGGAGGAGAAGGGAGCTGAACGGAGATGCTGTAAAGGTAAGTAACAGCTCACTGCCAGCCTCCAATAGGACCGCCAGGCTTGTAAAAACTCGTCTTATACTCGAGTATATACGGTATATAAAACATGGAGAGAAATGGGAAAGTACCAGAGAGTATAGGTATAAAGGTAAAATACAAGTAGAATATGATTAATTCTCTCTTTGATAATATACTAAAATCAATCATAACAGACACCTACAATAGGGGGATGAGGAGGTGGCTTGAGACCATGACTGTACTTTAAGGAGTATTAAGTTATGTAACATTTAAAAATAGAGAAGAATCTCTTATTATGGGGATAATTGTGTATTATGGTTTCTAACAGAAAGGGAATAGTTAATAACAGTTCCAGTTTCTGTACTTGGCATTTTATTAACAGATATAACAGAAAGAGGTTTGCAGGCTCAGCCTGTCCTGGGATTTAGTGGCTGTGAAAACTCAGTGCACCCTATGCCTTAACAGGTCATTGGTTTTGTATGAAAACGTTAGATTTCTCTGGAGAGCAACACTGCTGCAATGAGCAGGGACAGCTACATCAAGTGGGATGTGATATGGGGGAGCACGTATGGAATCATCTCCTGTATGTTAACTGTTTTATTATTAAATATTTAAAGGTCTCACATTTAGTCTTAAAAAAAATAGCATGACCCGTAGGTCACATTTTGTTAGCTATTGGGTTGTGCAGAAATCTGACCTGTGACAGTTCAACTTTAAATTATACATTTACTCTGGCAGAGGCTGGAAAATCCATTCTTCATAGCTGGATTCACTAAGATGCTGTGACCATTACGGCTGTAGTGGGGTATACTAGTTTATTTCCTTCCCTGAGGCTTTCCTTGGGCAAGGGAGGTGGGAATTCTATAATTCCTGGTGGTCCTAGTGCGCCAAGTGGAGCCTAATGCAAGAGGCGGGGTGAAGAGTGAGGGGTGGAGCCTAATGTAAAGGGGCTGAGCTTAGTGCCGCAGTCTGCCTCTATCTGCAGGGCCCCTGGGAGCTGTGCAGCCTGTGCACCCGCTCAGGATTGGCCCTGATAATACTCACATTAATTTGTATTTAAACTAATAAGTATGTTTTTAATTCAGGCTGTGTAAATTAGAAACATAGTTTTTGTTCAAAATGACATCTTACTTGCAGAAATTGCTATTAGTAAGTCACCTGAAATATCTCAGAATAGCCACGCCCCCGGCCACACCCCCAGTCACACATTTAAAGTTAAAGTGTCTCTTTTTGTCCAGTACAGTTGTGGGGGAAATGTTTATCTTTAGAATGTTAAAATTATTTGTTAAAACCTTTGAGGCTTGATCAAATTCAAACATGAACCTGTTTGAACTGATTACAATATAACCGGTAACTTTGCTTGAATAAAAACGTTTGAACTTAAAAATTACTTTTTATACTTTACCTTTAACAAACTGTACATACAGTACATGAAGCATGTACGGTCAGAGCTGCTTTATCCAATGGACAATGTTCTAATTTCTCAGGGCTCCTCCTATGTACTATCAAGTCTGCACGTCTTAAATTATTCCAAGTCTTTAAACATAGTGGGATAAGGCCTCTTTACTAACCTTGGGAATATATTCTAATAAATTAGCCCACTGTACGGAGAGAAGAGAAATACTGAGTAAACTCCCATTCTAATATTTAATGTACAATTTAAATATTTCCAATTTTATCTCTGACCCCACTGGAGAGATCATCAGACGATAAATGGTTTTGATTTTTGAGGATTACATAGTATGGAATTCTCTTTATTTACACAGTGCTAAGGTTATAGGCCCCTCTGGGGAAACAGGGGAAAATAATCAAAGTGATTCCATGCAAAGCATTTCTTCCCAGTTACTGCAACAACCCACAATACTTCTAGCATTAAAAGAATATTTTTTTTGTAATTGAAAACAATATTTATATAACAGTAGCGTATATGTAAAGTCATTCAGATATCTCTTTGCCAATTTTTATAATATAAAAACATCTTTGCTTTTGTATTACACAACCATGCTACAGTGCTCCCTATTAAACGTTAATAAATGTGTAGGGGTTTAGAAAAATACTCTCTGTCTCATTACCATTCAGCTTAAAGCAAGGTGAATTGTTAGTGTAGGACTCACCAAAGAGGTTTGCCTTGACGTGGCAGGTGAGCTTACACTTTAATGACCATTGATGATACTTGATACAAAAAAAGTTATTTAAATATGCATAGGGATTTGGAATAGTGGGTATGAAGAAACTACACTTTTTTCCGTTAACTCAGATTTTCCTCATTCGGCAGATAAAACTACTGAACACCGAACACCCCCTGGCTCATCAACTACAAAGAAAACAACAGATTAAAGGACCACTATAGGCACCCAGACCACGTCAGCTTAATGAAGTGGTCTGGGTGCCAGGTCCATCTAGGGTTAACCCTGCCTGCTGTAAACATAGCAGTTTCAAAGAAACTGCTATGTTTACATATGGGTTAATCCAGCCTCTAGTGGCTGTCTCATTGACAGCCGCTAGAGGCACTTCCGTGCTTCTCACTGTGATTTTCACAGTGAAAAGGCGCCAGAGTCCATAGGAAAGCATTGAGAATGCTTTCCAATGGACTGACTGAATGCGCACGGCCCTTGCCGCGCATGCGCATTCAGCCAATGACGTCCGAAGTAGGAGGCCGAAGGACCCCAGAGAACACACGCTACCCATGAGCCAGGGGATCAGTCCGTGGATTTGTTCGGTTTTAAAACTCCCGAAATGGACCGACTGCTACCTCTGAAACTGTGGAACTGTATTGGGTATTTCTATGGAAATCCCGAACCCCTGAACCAAACTGGGTGATTTTTGGATATTTTGGTCCCCCAGATCGGGGCTATCAGGGGATGTGACTTTTGTGGGGTTTCCATGTGTTTTGGCAGTACGTTCAGGCTGTTGTTAAAATGTATGTTTTCTGTGCCTGGAGATAATTGAGATTAGTGCAGTTCCTGACTCCATTATCTCTCAGGCACAGGGGAGGGATTACCCTTTTTTGTGTGGGAGTATCTTGGACCTGAGAGCCAATGTAATTACAGTGTGTGCTTTGCCATAGTCTCCTCTTAGGGAATGCACCTGGAATGGGAGTTGGGAAACCCCTTGCATGGGGAGTTGCATATAAACTGGTCGGTTGGCTTGAATAAATTCATTCCTGTTGTACCCTTCATCTAGTCTAGACTGATGTTTGGGTATACTTCTGATTGCTTGGAGAATTTACTTGGATACTGCAGTTTCTTCTGGAGAACGTTTGAATCAACACCCGAACTGCAAGCTATAATCACGCAGCCTTTAGCAGTTCGTGTGGAAACTAAAGCGAACTGGTATCTGAAATACCAGCGTTCGTAACAGTGGGCAGGTACCTTGATGTTTTTTTTGTTCTATGCTTTGAGGATGAGGTGTACTATAGTCATTGCTGCTGTCCAGGAGCAGTGGGGGTTTGAGCTCAGGGCTTA